ACAATAAGAAAATAATTTGCATACTTTGACTTGAATGAAAATGCTCTATATCTTTATATGAAAATAACTCATAAAGAGCCCTGAGGACAGGTAGAAAATTACAATTAAGACACATTTTAGTCTGTTTTTAAGAGTATAAAAATATAAAGATTATGAGTTGTTTCATTGCAGTTCTCATGAAGATGAGAATTATACCCTTTTATTGTGTTCCTATGTATAATATTTCGTTGTAGAAAATATTTATGTGGTTATCAGAATATTAATAAGTTAATATTTCAGTAATTTTCCTCGATGCTGAAACAGCTTGTAACATTAAGTCATCATTACTATTTAACTCCATTTCTAGTTAATAGAGTTTTACTTGCTTGATACAACATAATTGACTAGGACACAGGATGTAACAAGTCATTTTAGATGGCAAAGAACTTTATAAATACAGCATATTTTAACATAAATTCCCCTTAAACACAAGGAATTATTATTGCAACAGTTGCTCTGTGGTTTTTAATACTGTCAGTTGAGCTACTTTTAATACCAACCCCAAGAAGAACATTTCAGCAGAAATTTTAATATATAATGGGTTAAGAAGGCAGATAATATATTAAATTGCTGAACAGTTACTGTTACATTGATGATAATAGGTCAGCTCAAACTAACATAAGCTATTAACCAAATACATATTTATCTCTAGTAATACTGCATTAATTTAACATTATAGGGACTTTCTGCTACTTCTAAAGAGATCTTAAAATTCTATATAGTCACTTACCATGAAAATGAAACATTACTATTGCTATTCAAAGATAAATAAATGTTATTTCATATATTTAGATCCAAGTTGACATTTTTAGATTCTAAGATTAATATTTTGTAAGGTAATTGTAATGAGCCCCACAGTTTCTCTTCTCCCTTAGTCACAAATATTATTTCTTAGGAAAAAGAAATGTGAAGCAAAAGTAGTATAGGAATATTCATACTTGAAGGCTCTGTGTAGTTTTTATTATAATTATTCTTGAAATTTCAGCGATAAGGTCTTTTTGTGACTTTTCTGTCTCTCTTCTTGTGGTCATTGGGAAATGTTCCTAGTATCTAACATTTTTACTTTCAGAAGCATGATCAGTTACATACATAATCACTGTTGGTTGTGAAAGATAATTTTATTTACATGTATTTTCTTTATTTTTAAAAAGTAGAAAATGATATATTATTAGTAATTGTAAATGCATGCTATTTATTTAGGTAGAACTAGAAAATAAAACTTTCCTCACAGGCACTTACATTGTGAAAGAGGTAAACATTGTGAAATGTGAATCCAGAGAAATGAAACTATTAAAAGGAATTTGGTTTTAGTTGTACAGATTTTTTTTTTCAATGAAGAATGACAATTGAAGAAGTAATCAAATTGAACCAACTACATTGTTCCCACAAATACACCAAAACCATTAAAGTGAAATATTAATTTCCTTTTACATTTAACTTGACTATTGATTACCTAATGTACTAAATTGTTTAACTTTTTCTTTAAAATATTGTTGTTTATCATTAGTGTACACTTTTTTCCAGCTTATTTATTTCGTTTGATGGCCTAAAAAGAATAGTAAATTTTGTTTGAAATGATTCTTTTAAACTTTAGTAAAACAGGGATTTTTTTTGCTTGTATCGGGTGTGTGTATTTAAGTTGAGTTTATTGTCAAATAGTATACCTACAGTACAATTCTATTTTAAGGCAGGTGGAAATATAAATATTTTAGTTCCTAGACAGTTTAATTTTAAAATCAACATAAGCGCTGTCAAATTATGCAAAAAATAAAAAATACCAAAGTTGTTAAAAAAAATAAACAACTTTTAAAACTCCAGAGCAACAGACAAGGAAAGTATATTACATTTAACATGTAGAATATTTTAGACAATAAAAGAATGACCTTTTCAATAAAATAATGTTAATAAAGCCTTTGAAGTCATATCAGTAAGTTCAAATGTATGGCTTTAAAGTGAAATAAGTTTAAAATAAAAACAAAATTTGGTTGTCTTTATGGAATCAAACAAATAACATGAGTCATTTTACTATTGTAAAATATTTTAGGTTTGGTACAAATAATATAATAATTCCCGGGATTTGTTTTCATTACACTGGCAAGGAAAAATATCAAGAATATACCTCTTCAAGCTGCATATTCTGGTACTGTTGGTTTCTTATAATGAAAACAACTGTGCAGACTTCATATTAGTTTGATTTAAATAAATGTTCATGGATGGTTTAATGTAAAAATGTAATTTTAATTCTGAGAATATTGCGAAAGACCTGGAAAATAAATTACAGGAACCGAAAGTAGCATGGTCACTGTGTGCGTGTGTGTTAAACACATAAGATTTATGAAATTCACTTTCAGTAGATGAGTTTCAGACATTTTTAGAAGTAAAACTCCCCATTAAAAAAGGCACTTAACTTGTTTTTCTTGTAAGATATGCCAGGTAAAAATTAATTTAAAAAAAGGAAAAGCTTAATGGAAGTTTCTACTTATTTGGATAGAGTAACTATTTTCCCTCAGATAAAAATTCTTGAAGCACTGTTAAGAATAATTGATGGTGGGCATCCAGGCATCTTAAAGAACAAGGAGTCTATTTTCCTTTGTTCTTGTCATATTTCTGTTGAGTAAAGAGATTCTGCCCTAAAGGGATAAAAGAGCTCCTTACTTTTAGGATGTTTTAAAAAACATGATTCCTTGAACTACTGTAGGCTTAAATGTTTTTATTATTTTGTATATTAGGTGTTCTGCATAATATTTAATCATTTTTCTTTATATAAACAAATCGGTATAATTATGTCTCTTTTCCAATTTAAATGTGTGTGTATGCATCTCTAGTAGAAAAATACCATCAGTTTAAAATGATGGCACTACCATAATCACTTGGTTTAAATAAATATGAGATTCTAAAGTTTTGAAATTAAGATAAAAGGCAACAGGACACCAAACCTTCTAACTACTATACTATTTTATGCAAAAACCTAATTTTCTATAATTTTATGTATTGAGGACTACATAAATCCTGTGACAGAAAAATGTTGCCACATATCTGATTTGGAAAACACATTTGTAAAAAGTATGTTATATTTAAAATAAAAGTTGTAGTTTTCTTTTTCTTTGTTTTACTTTTTCTGAGCAATTGAGTACCATTTTGCTTCATTAAAGTAGATTTGTAGTGAAGGTATTAAGGACTGTAAAGGAAGGAGTTTTCCTGAATTTATATTTTTTAACTCAGGTATATTAATGAAAACTTCATAACTACTTCATAAATATAATAGTATTGTTTGATGTTTTAAAAACTGAAAATGTTTCTATTCACTGTGGCTTACCAGTTTTTATTTAGTGCCCCTAATAAGTTACAAATTTAATAATTTGGATTGTAGAAATTATTCAAAATAAATGGAAGTGTAATTTGTTTTCAGATATATTATTTTGAAAAACTAAACATATATGTTTTAAGAGTTTTTAAATCAATAAAAATTAATATTTCACTCTTAATTCAGTAGTTCTTCATTCAAGAAAAAAATAAATCTTCAGCTAAAAATCTGAATGAAAATAGAAAATACCCTTTGCTGCAGTAGTTCAGTTGTTTAAAATATTAAATCTGATATAAATGACTTATTAAAAAAGTAAGCCTAATCCCCAAAAGAAAAATTCTCTCTTTGGAAATAAATTGTAAAATTATAAAATTGCATTGCAGAATTAGGTTAATGATTAACTTTGAATTTGAAAAGTGTTTATATTGACTGTTAATATCTTTAAAAATATATCTTATTGGGTAATTCCTTTGACTTTCTCACTGTCCTCAGCAAGTAAGTAGGAGGAAGGTATTTTTTTAATTTTAATATTCAATATTGTGGTAATTTGATAGGGTTATTCTACATATTATTTATTAAAGGGTTTTTTTAAATTTTGGTTTTTTTTTTTTAAGTAGGAAGACACAACTACTGTTGTGGATTAGAGAAGTGCTTTAAACCCTGTTACTATTCTTTTATATTCTGACTTCTCTATAAGATTGTTGCCTATTGGAGTATTGAACTAAAGAGAGAGTAAGAGGTTCTATGATGTGAACGCTTTTTAAAAAGACATTCATACATTTGCTATTTTTTTTTATTGTATCAATTATTTTCATTGAAATTTTGATTGGAGTATATACCATTTCAAAACCAGAAAAAAATTAGAGTCAAATTTCATATTAGTACTTTTAAGTAAAAATATATATGTATATAATAATTGTGGCATCAACATATTGGAAGAATAAAATTGGAAATAAAGTAGCCCAGCCAAATACATGTTTCAGCATGAGAAGTGGCAAGAGAGAAATAAAAAACGCAGTGCTTTCAGACTCTAAAGAATCTTTTCTACCTACATCCCAGGATTATTGAAAAGCATAAGTCAAATGTTTGTGAATAATTTTATAAAGCTAGCACAAGCTGTGCAAATGTAGGATATTATTTTTAAATGAGTTTGGGTGTAATGAATGCTTAGTTATTGCCACAGAACCATTTTTCCCATCTTCTGGCTAGTGATCAGCAGAAGTATCTTCGTTGGCAGTCTTGAAAAATCCTATGATTTCTTTCCCTGATACTAATCAGGGACTGAGTTGTAGAAGGAAAGAGAAATAGATGTGGGAGGCCAGTGTTCTCAAAAGTATGAATTGGTTTATGGTTAGGTTTATAGCATTTTACTCATCCCTAGATAATCCACAGAGAACTGAAAAAATAAAGTAATGTTTTGGCTTACTCTTGAAATGTGGCATAAGTTTATGTTTTAAGGATGTAATTAATGTTCTATTAAGATTTTATTTGCATGTTTTCCAATGCATCCTGCTGTGGTTTTTTAAAACCATCGATTCATTAAATGAATCAGTGCTTTCAGTTTGTGAAATATTTAATACTATAAGTTCTATAAAGAGCCATCTTCTCTTCTTCCATGAACTTTTCATTAATATTTTGGTATCCTTCTTTTATACAGGACTTTGCCTCCCGGGCTAAACTGGCCATTCAAAACCTAGTACAGAAGGTCGGATTTTTTGGAATTTTGGCTTGCGCTTCGGTAAGCGAATTGTATTAAAAATGAGAAATTCCAATAAATGGTAGATTTATATTTTGATCCAATTTGTTTTTAAAGATACAGACCTGAATGAACAAAAATAGTATCACTTTTAATGGGTATGTAATTTTATTTATCATTTTACTCATCAAATGAGCTGTTTTCTATTGGATAGGTTCATATTTTGTTTATTGACTTTTAAGCATTTCATCATGCCATGATGACTTCAGACCTAAATGGCTTGATTCAGTAAGAACAAGAGACAAAATCCATCTTTCTCATGAAGAATGAAGTGCATTTAACCAAATAACAATGACTTTATTCTTTCCAGAGTTATAGATAAGTAGTCTTTTTTCAAATCATTAGTTATAAAGAAGAATTCATATAAACCCTTCTTAAGTGATATTAACACCTAGTTAGGTAATTGGAACATCTGTGGCAAAGCTAAGGGCATCTTTGGCTATCATGAACTAAGAAGCCATTTATATCAAAAACAGTACCTCAAATTGCAGATTTGTGAAATTGATGTTCCTTAATGAGTTAGTTTATCCTGGTCTTTTTCAAATGTAATAGAAACAGTTACATTTGAAATGGAGCATTTTGATCCAGGTTTTATTTGGTAGCCTGTACATAATTCTTGGTAGTTAATGGTGAATTTGGCCAGAATAACTAGATGCACCTAGTTGATATAAGCTGCAATTATAAGTAAAATTCACAAAATTAATGTCTACTGACATATAGCTACTTTATCTATTACGTGCTAGCACATGAATAAAGGTTTGAGTAGCCCCTTTCCACTCAAAAGGAGAACATATGAAACCAAAATATTTAATGTGATATCAACATTCTAGAGATATTTTTAAATATACACATGCCTGAATTACTATCTTTCGACCTTGGCAGTACTAGAAATTTTCGTAATCTAACTTTTTAACATTGAAGCTCTTTATCACAACATTGATCTCAAAATTTGAGCAACTTATTGGTATTTCGTTGTGTGATATATTGGAAAGAATTGGCTTTAGAATCAAGCTTACTTAGGTTCCTAAACCAATTTTGACTCTTGCTACTTAAATAACCTCAATTAGGTTACTCTCTTTGAGCCCCAGTTTTTTAATTTTTAAATTGGGGCAATAAAACATTCATTGCAAAGGCTGATGTGAGTATTTAAGATTATGTACGTGAACTAATACAGTACCTAAAACATAAATGGCCAGCCATTTTTTTTTTTATATAGTTACTCATCAGCTGTGTATCAGCCACTGAGTGCATGGAAAAAAGAAGTGCAAGGTATATTCCCTTTCCTCAAGGATCTTGAAGTCTAATAAGGGTGGCAGTTGAGATGCAATGATAAGTAAAACCAAAATATTTAATGGAAACCTAGCAGAATGAGATTAAGCTGAAAAGCTTAAAGGATAATAATGTTTTAATTTAGAGGCTAAGAGTACAAGCCTAGAGATATGGCCAGGTTTAAAATCCTGCTATGCTGCCAGTTATCCTGAACAAATTGCTTAACCTGTCATACTTTCTTATCCGTAAAATGGGTATAACAGCATCATTTTAGCATTGTTTGGGGAATTAAGTGAGTTGATGATGTAGAAGTCTTAGAAAAGTACTGAACAAATCAAAGCATTCAATAAAAGTTGGCTTTCATTATTCCTGGGGACAACTTCAATTTATTAAAGCAAAAAATATTTATTCCTTAGCACTCATCTCTGCCTGTGTCCTAACTGCTAAAAATCCACTTTCTATACTAGCCAATCCTCTTATATTTGACAAAAACGTCAGTATTTAACATACCAGTAGATTAATTCGGCCCTCTAGGAACTTTTTTTAAGGAGATTTTAATACTTATATTAAAGTATTAAAAATATATATACTTGATTTAAGGTAAAAAGTATTTATTAATTATTTTGTTGTTAATATTCAAATTAAAATAAGTAGTTGAGGAAAAATCTCAAAGTTACTTATTAATTTTTTTAATTCTAATCTTTTCTGTGTACTTAGGAGTTGAAAAAAAGAATAAATAACATGCACATGTAACAACAAACTCATTGATTATGAGAGTGTCTTGCATACACTGTGTCCAACATGTTAACAAATTCTAATTCTTATCTACTCTCATTTATATATCTTGTATACCTTAAATTAATTTCCATCTCATCATGAGGTAGAGCCTGATAATAAAGGAAAATAATTAAAATTATAATTCATTGAGTTGTGAGAGTCATATGAGAAAATAAAAGAAATGACAGTTGTAACACTGTGCAAATGATATTATTACCTGGTTGTAAGACAGACGAAATTGCATAAAGGCTTTGAATTTGGATGGGAAAAACAAAACTGAGTTATTGAATCCGAGTGTTACTAACAAAAGAATACTTGAATTCTAATTCTAATTGCTCTGTTTTCAAAAGAACATACATGACAAATATCTTTTAAACAACGAGGCTTTTCTTTGAAAGTTCAAAAACAAATTTGTATAAATTAATTGACTCATAAATGGTTCGGCCAGCAGCCACAAGGAGAGAGAGTACTTCCATGGGAGAAAAATGGACGAAGTACTCAAAAACAGCTTGTGGTTTCTTTGCATTTTTACATGAAATTGTCTTTTAGCATTTTTGAAATGTGGGAATGTTTGGAAAAGGTATTCGTTGTGAATCACTTCTTTGTCTGGGACTCAGTATTCAAAACATCTGAATCAGCGCTCTTGTACTTCCACACTTGATGTTCTTTCTAAAATATATCACACGACCCCATGGCCTTGGGCTCTCATAAGATAAAATACAAATAATGAACATTTTTACACTGAGAAGTAAAAACACATCAACCTATAAATGTATTTGTGAATTTACAAGAATGTTTGCTATAGATGTTCTTTTTTCAGTAATGATTTTCAAACCTTAATAACTGCTGAAATGACCTTAAGGCTTTTTCTTCATTTATGCCTCACCTTAGAAAACAGCTCTCAAATAGTTAAGTATCTAAAGTATCTACTGAATGGTATTAAATTCCTATGTATCCATTGGCTTTATACAATTATAATGTGATAGAAAAAAGGTATATTTAGGGAACATTAGCCATAAGTAATACAAGCAAAAGGACTGCAGGGTTTGCTTTGAACCGATTGAACAACAGCCTGCAAAGAATATGAGACCTTGTTTACAGACACGTTACCATACTTGCCTACCCCTCTGAACTGTCTAGTACTGATCAGTGAACCCCTACTTCCCTTTGCAGTGTAAATAAGGCTTTATCTATACATGGTAAAATTACTGTTCTTTGAAGAAATGTGAAAGTCCCATTTTAATTTTTTTTAGATTCCAAATCCACTATTTGATCTGGCTGGAATAACATGTGGACACTTTCTTGTACCTTTTTGGACTTTCTTTGGTGCAACCCTGATTGGAAAAGCAATAATTAAAATGCATATTCAGGTAATTATACCCTTCTATCCCCTGCCTAATGATGGTGAGCCTATTACCTTGGCTCATTCCAAGGTAAATTGTTAAGATTTTGGTTCTGCTTCTTTTGGTTGCTAGTTTGCTTAATTATTCAACCACGATATGTCATTCAGAGGTAAATGAATTTTGTGCAGCTGTTCCCTGTCCCTGTTGGAAAATTGTGCCCCTTTATTATTTTTCTCCTTGTTTTCTTACTTGCCTTCTTTCTTCCTCTCTTTATTTCACTTACTGCCTTGTGAAACTATTTGTCTAAGATTTTTACCAAACAAAATACAGTGTTCCCTCATAGGAAAATGCATATCATTTTCACATACATAATCCAAAAAATGTATCTTTACTGACCATGAGCTGGGACAATATTGCCTTTTACTAATTTTACTTTTCTTTCATACACTGTATATAACACTTCCTCTCAAGATACCATTATCTTTTATAGAAAATCAACCAGACGTTAGTGTGGGGGAGAATAGGAAAGAAAAAGATCTCAGAAGAGGCAAAAAGATGTGGATTGTGGTTAGAGAAATGAAAATCTGCTAGTATTCAAAGTCATTCTTAAAATCTTTAAGAGAAGAGTGTGTGTGTGTGTGTGTGTGTGTGTGTGTGTGTGTGTGTGTGTGTGTGTATGCTTTGTGAATAGAAGAGAGAAAAGAGACTAGGAACTTAAATGAGGGGACGTGGATATGTGCTTCTAGGACTATGATGTGAATTGTTTCCTTCTAAGGGCAAATCTCTCTAGAATAAAATAAAATTAAACTGGAAAGAATTTCTTAATCAATGAGGTTTGCAACAAAGAGGCATTCACCAAAGGAGAGTCAAGAACAGTGAGTAATGTCTGTGCCCTGTATGATTTCTTAATAATTAAAAGCACATCTGTCCCCTAAGTTTCCTAACACCTCTCTATTTGTAGTTCTTATAAGAAAAGAATGAAATAAAAAAACTTCAGCTGCTTCTACCTGCCCAGTTTCTAATATTGGATTTTGGCATTTGGGATGAGTTTATTGAACCTGTCCTCTACTCTCCTGCCATGATAATCACTCAGAATTTCAAGGATATGTTTTTTCTCCTTTAAGGAGTATATTTTCTCCCACTTACACTTACTTAATATATTGTTCACTGAACATAAGTTTTTTAAATATTAGAATGCTAATTACTTTGGTTAAGATTTAAAATACCATAACAAGATTTTTCAAGTAATAAAATATGGTGGTGAGTAATAAATTATTTTGCAATGTATCTGAAGGTAATGTTTTCTGTAATCTTTTTAGTTCTTTCTAGGGGAAGAACAAAGCTATCATTTAGCTTTTTGGAATCTTCTGAAAATATTGATACCTAAGGAACAATAACAGGTTATTTTAATTCCCTTGATAACAGTAACTTCTCTAGGAATCCATAAACTTAATCACCCTGCTTTATGTAGTGATTTTCTATAAATTATAGTAAAATTTATGCTAAAAGTACCTTTAGTGATTATATATGCTATTTACCAGGCCTTCCGTTACAGAATATTCAAAAATAATCTGTTTTAAAAACATTCTCAGTAGATTTTTTCAAGTTATGATAATGCTTAATTTTTTTAATATAGTACTTCATACTTTGAAGCACTTGTGGTATGTCATCTGATTTAATCATTATAATCTTGGGTTAGAAAAATTATTACTCCCATTTTGTAATTATCAAACTTACAGAGGTTAATAAGTAATAGTTGCCTAAGAGAGTAAGTAATAGCTGGAATTTGAACCCTAGTCTTTTGGTTTCAAGTTCAGTGTTTTTTCCAGTCTTTTGCATTGCCTTCTTAACTTTAAATTATTTATATGATTAAGGAAACTAAATTGTTTGATGGCTGCTGTTTATCAGGACCTGTGCCAAGCAATTGGCATTGGTTATCTCAAAACAATTCTGTGAAGTGGTTATTATCTGTAGATGGGGATTTGAGTGGTAGAAAAGATAAAATACATGCCTAAGGCCTATGAATTCAAACCAAACTCTATAAAGTCAAAGCTCATTTCCTGTTTCTATGTGGAAGAAAAAAGCTAAAATCCATCTGTGTTTCTGAAAGGAAAGAATCTGAGTTCCTTCACTAAACAGATCATGGGATGTGTTTACTATGTTCCATTGTATCAGAGAGATATACTTTCTAAAGGCATGTCACTTGATGTACATCCAGGTGTAGCTCAGGGCAACAAACATTTCTCATTCCTTGAGTAAGTGATATGAGTAATAGAGACATTGTATTTATATTAAATATTATATATAAACTATTTCTGAAATAACAAGGGAAAGCACCATGCACAGATTTTTCTGTATTCTAATAGACTTGTCTCCTCTTCTGGTTCTCTTCTCTTTATTCCTCAGCTTAAACTAGACAGCTTTCCTTGATAAATACTATTATTTTTACTGATATTTTGCTGTTAAACCTCCCCTAAATATATTAAATGAGCCCACCTAATAATATTAAATTGGGATTTCCCCTTCCACTGGACAATTTCAAGTACTCTGACTATATGAGGACCCTTAGAAACTTTAATAATGAAGGTGATAAGTCAACATAGTCATGTATACAGGGGTCCCCAACCCCCGGGCTGCAGACCAGTTCCAGTGGGACCGTGGCCTATTAGGAACTGGGCCGCACAGCAGGAGGTAAGTGGCAGGCAAGTGAGCAAAACTTAGTCTGTATTTGCGGCCGCTCCCCAGCCCTAGGAGCACCGGTCTCTGGTGCCAAAAAGATTGGGGATCGCTGATAATACTTCATGTACTACGTAATTTACTTATTACGTTTGTTGGTTATTGCTTCTCTGCCTTCCCACCTACCACCACATATAAGTTCTATATGGACAGAAATTTTTGTGTCTTGGCTCACTGAGTTATTCTACTGCCTAGAATAGCATCTGTCATGTAGTAGACACTCAGTAAATATTTAATAAATAATGAATCTGTCTGTAAGATTCTTCTTACCATTGAAGGTTCTTCTTTGTTCATTCTGCTACCATTAATTTTCTATACATCTTTTTTTCCTACTCTCCCCTCCCCTTGTTACCTCTCTGCACATCGTCAAGTGGTCTGTTTAGTGGTTTGTGCCTTTTATATGGTAGAATCCCCACTCAGACCTACAGCCTGAATGATACTGAGACTTATTAAATGTCTGACACATTTATGTCTTGCCCAGAACAGTGAATTTTCAAACTGTTATATATAAAAAAGAAAGTCTTGTTTTGTTTTCATGCAATGAAATTGTGTAATTCTCTGGGAATTGGATTATTTTGAATGTTAGGAAATAATGGAAGGGAAAGCTTATGATAGTGAGATCACTGAGAGACAAAAGCATTAAGTCTGTTTCATGGTAGAAGATTTTTTGCTCCAAGTAACTGGCTTTTAGTCTGGATACTAGAAGGACTCCCACATATTAATGCTTTTCTCCTCAAATGATCTATAATAGTTTTATTAGCCTCATAATTTTTATACACCATTTGTGTAACATTTTTTTATGAAATCATCATTCGTATTGTAACTGTTTGAGATCTGTATGTGCTTTCTTTTTCCATGAGATAGGTAAGTATCTTTTTCATATTAACACATGCATGAACACCAGAAAGGACTATGAACTTTTAGGCTCATTTCCTTACACATATTCTTATACTGTGCAGCTGCTAATGTCTCTATTAACACTGGGATGTTGATTAAGAAAATGTCATTGCCTTATTATTCTTTTGTCTAAAATAATAAGCTTTAGTCTAAAGTAGCCACTTTCTTGAGATTTATAATGGATGGATAAAAAGAAAACTATTGTTATTTATTTCCCTTCCCTCCTCTTTGGTTACATAGGCTAAAGTTATTATTTAACAAACAATAACAAAGCACTAAAGGGTTTAAGAGGAATTCGAAGAGAGAATCTAGAAGTACTCACATTTAATCAGAGTTATTATCAGTCCTTTAAAGCTAAACTTTAATATCACTTTCTTTAATCTCTAATTAATTGTATTTAATGTGACCTTTCACTGAACTTCTGTAACACATTGCTTTTACTACCAAAAGGATGTCCAGTTTTATCTTTATACATTATATTTAAAACCCCTTAATAATGCCTAACATTATCCATAGTAAGTACTTTTTGTAACATTTGTTGAATTAAGAATATTTGCTACCCATTAGCCCTTAAGGCATCTTTACTTGTAAGTAAGGTAAGATATCAACATCTTCAACTAATGGAGAGTACCTCAATAACACCAAATTGAAAATGACCCAGGTCTGATAAAGATCCTCAATAATCTCTTGTTTGCTTTATACCCTCACCCTGAAAGTCCAAGCTCATTCAGTATCTTAGAATGGAACTTTCATGATACTTCTATGAAAACTTTCCAGGAAGGACGTACAGTGTTTTCAAGATTCTCTGTATTAAATTTAGCCCAGACCCCTGCCATCATGCTGATCAGCTTTAATTTCAGTGGTGGGGGCTATATGGGAGCCCAGATTTCAGTTGTATACACCATTCTAAGATACATAAAACATGTCGAATGTCCACCCAGTCTTGGGTTTTGTGACTCATGCTTTTCCCTCAGACACGGTCATGTATCCTAGTAAGACTAGAACTGTGCTTAAAGGAAAAACCTCTTTAAAATACAAAATAGGCAGGAAATTGTGTTTCTTGTTTTTTTATAAAGAATTTTAAAAATTGCACCTCACTTTTTTAAGACCGTTATCAGAATTATGAATTTATATTGATTTTTTTGGATAAGAGAAATATTTATTTTAATTGGTGTTTTCTTTACAGAAAATCTTTGTTATAATAACATTCAGCAAACACATAGTGGAGCAGATGGTGGCTTTCATTGGGTGAGTAATTCTTTGAGGACTAATATTAATATTGCTGTTTGAATGGGAGGAAATGTATAAAAGACTTTATTGGGATAGAATTATTGTGATAAATCTATTTTTTGAGGAACTGTCTTTTACCCTGTTATTAAATTGAAGAAGACCTTGCAGCAGGGAAGGAAGAAGCTCAGATTATCCTTGTTTAATTATAAACCAAACATGTTTCAAGTCACGTAATTCTTGATTTAAAAGAAGTTTTGGAGTTTGAGACTTGCCCTTCTAAAGAAATAAATTCTCTTTACATAAAAGGCATGTGTGCCATGACACTTTAACAGTGCTTTAGTACTGTGCTATGACTTTTAGCCAGATACACAGTTGCATTTAATTTAAATACAAGCCTTACATAAAATATTAATATTTCATTAAATAAAACAATCAGATGGCATAATATTATCAAAATATGTTATGAACCTGTTACTTCACTGTAGAAAAATCAGGCCATATTAAAAAGCTACTTTCCAAAGCTTTTATTTTTGTGTTTACAGAAGGAAGACCAGTTTTAACATATGCTTTAAATGATAATGTTACAAATTTGTGGACTTTGATGAAACAGTAAAGACAGACTCATTTTGTTTGATTAATCAAATTAACTATCAACTAGAATGTGAATACAGTCAGATGTTAAATGAAACTTTAATATATGATTTTTTATTTAGTTTTGACAAATGAGAGGTTTTCTTTTCATTTAATAGCATAACCGCCCAATAGTGGAAAATGTTAAGTTGAAGTGCCCGTTATGTAGTTTTAACATAAATCTTTATCTTAAAAGCCATTATAAAAGAAAACATTTATGAAAAATTTTGCTCTTTATAAAAAAAATTATCACTTAGAGATATGTTCATGTGTATTAGTTTTATTATTCTTTAAACCATACATTATATATTCCTCTTTTCTGTATATATGTTTTATAATAAAATCATTTTTAATATTTTCTATTTAGTTTTTAATGTAATAATTGAGGAAAAACATTCTTGAGAATATACTTAGTGGAGCCAGTCATTGGTTTTACTTCCTAATTTTTGATTATAATTATGGATTATAGCTTGTGCATTAAAATTTAATTACTGCAGTTTTTTGTTGCTGAACCTTACAAATAAAGTGATTTACAAGTAACCATACATTGCATTCAGAAAGAAAGAAAGAATATTCTTGTCCTTTATTTTTTAAATACAAACAAGGCATTTCATCTGTTCTTAGAGATTACTGTTTCACCTTGAGAGAATTCTAAAGGACATACAGCTTAACTACAGCACATACCCACACATTGTAGGAGTGACTGCTCTCTGCAGCCTACATTCTTCCTTTCTCCTTGTCCCATACTGAACACTTACAGAAAAAAGTTTCTCAGTGACTTCTACATCCTCACCACTACCACCTTTTGTTTCCCCAGCCTTTGGAGTTTCTAAGAAGTTAGATGAGTTAGACTTGTCTCATCCACCCACATCCAGTTTTCATTCCCTTCCAATCTGTTTGCCACACTGCAGTTAGTGACTTTTTAAAAATCTTAATCTGAGCAAGTCACCACCACTGTCCTTACCCCTGCAGCCCCTCCTCTTGAAACTCTACTTTTTTCCCCTTTATTCTTAAGTAAAGCAAAATTTAACATGGTCTGTAAAGCCATGTATTATCTTATCTGCTGTAGTTTTCTCTGCTTGTGTCTGCCACCACTGGTCTTGGCTTGTATTTTTTCCTTTGCCAGTTTAAGATTTCTCAACCTTGCACTATTGGCATTTTAGGCCAGATAATTGTTTGTTGTGGGGGACTGTCCTGTGCATTGTGAAATATTTAGGTACATCCTTGTTCTCTACTCATTAGATGCCAGTAGTATCTCCTGGTTATGACAATAAAAAATGTCTCCAGACGTTGCCAAATGTCTTATGGCAAGTAAACAACCACTACTGTTACCAACTTGAGAATCACTGGTCTAGATAACGTCCTCTAGATTTCGGCTCTGACATTTACAAAATGGCTTCCTTGAGTAGGGACCTCTTTCCTAGGGACCTCTATTCACAGCAGTATATACTACATGCACTGACAGTGGTATTTTTACATTTATGTTTGAAGGGATATGATTCCTGTCCTTCTGCCACTAACCAGTAAGCTTCTTATTGGCAGAGGCCATTCCTGTTTTGTTTACTGTTGGGTCCACAGCACTTGGCATCTTAATTGACACATAGCAGGTGCTAGATAAATAACCTGGTGAACAAATGAACACATGGTGTCTAACTAAAGATCTGGCCAGTAAAAATTTGCAAATTATATGTATAGCCCAGATTTTTCTGTTTCTCTTGCCTTTGGAGTTTCTAAGAAGTTATTTATCTGCAGTAAATAGAAATAAATGTATCCTTCAGCTTAAACCAACATTTTAAAGTTAGAATTTCTTACGTTTTTCAAAATCAGGAGTTCCTTGTCTTAACTATCTCCTCTAGCACAGCCTCTCAAAACAATCCAGTGATTCTTTCTTTTTAAAGATGGTTTCACATAAAATTATTCTAAGATATTCAAGACCTATTGGATTCTGATTTTTATTAGATGGGTGGTGTCATATTTTTAAAATTGTCTTCAGAAAACAGATGTTGGAATGTCTTCATATCTTCATCTTTTCCCCAACATTGTCTACAGGTATTACTTCATCAATTTATTTTTGAGACAGTATATTAAACAGTATAAATAATAAGTGCTCAAATGATAATTAATAAATAGACTCACCAAACCTAAACTAAAAATTAGGTTAAATAAGGAGAATGAATTTTTAGTAGACCTAAAATTATTTTATATTATTATAAGTTGCTTAGCAGTTTATTTCGGAAAAGGGAAGGAGAACAGCCAAATTGATTCTCTAGACTCATTGTTGAGTTGAACTCAAAATACTGCCATTAGCTTGCTGTAGAAACATTCTCCTTTGATTATTAATTCTCCCTTTTCACACTGTTGAAACTCTAAATGGTATAGCAAATCATCAAACTAAACTAGTTAAGTTTGGAATAGAGCACATAGGCTTTGGACAAAAGAAATCTAGATTTGAATATAAACTCTGTCTGCCATAGTTATTTATAAGCTTGTGTCCACTTCTCTTTGCTGTTCTTTCTAACAACATGAATTGAGTAGCATTCTTTTGAGTAGCATTTCTTTTTCTCCAGTTTAGAAGGCTACTAATAACCTTTTCAGTTTCCAGTCAAAATGTGAAATGTTCAAAATATTTTATAGTTTAGTTGAAACATACTTATATCAGTAATTTAACTTTCCAAGACATGAGTATTTTAAAAATGCCTTTCCTCTCAAGTTTTCTGTTGCCTCTTTTCTCAGTCTCATTTTCCAAAATTTCTACTGACTGTGGATGGAAGGGTAAACTACTAGGTGACTGTTTTTGTGTGCTGTCAAGGAAGATTGAGGGAAGGCCTACTTCTTCTTAATGTACCTATTTCTTTATTCTCTGATCAGTAAAATGCCTTCAACCAGGACACAGGTTTTCATTAAAGATTATACAAATAATTATTTTCTTTCCATGAGGATACTTCATTTCTTTTTTTTTTCTATTACAGTTGATATTCAATATTATTTTGTTAGTTTCAGGTATATAGCATAGTAGTGAAACATTTATATAGTTTACGAGGTGATTAGTTTAGTACCCACCTGGTACCACACATAGTTATTAGAATATTATTGCCTATATTCCCTATGCTGCATTTTATATCCCCATCGCTGTTGTGTAACTTCCAATTTGTGCTTCTTAATTCCTTCACCCTTTTCACCCAGTCCCCCAACCCTCCTGGTAACCCTCAGTTTGTTCTCTGTAATTATGAGTCTGTTTCTTTTTGTTCATTTATTTTGTTCTTTAGATATAAGTGAGATCATATAGTATTTGTCTTTCTCTAACTAATTTCATTTAGCATAATACCCTCCAAGTCCATCCATGTTGTCACACAAATGATTCTTGAGGATACTGTTTTTTTTTGTTTTTTAACATAATGAGCACTCTACATCAATTTTAGTATTATTGTTTACTTCTAATTACAGCCATATATGATGGATATTTATCCCCCTTTTATTAATAAGGAAATGGGCTCTGAGTGGTTATAAATAACTCACTTATATAATTTTTAATTTAGTTTCTAGTTCATAAAAGGATTTATACTATATGTACTCTTTTGGACTTTTCACTTATTATATTACTAATGTTATTGTGTATTGCTGAAGATTATTCATTCTGACTGCTATGTGATTATTCATCCACCCTCCCATTGACGGACACTTGGAATGTTTTCATGTTTTTTTTGCTCTTTTGAACAAATATGAGCATTTCTTAGTGTAGGATAGATGAGCACATAGTAAGGAACCTAAGGGTATAATGAAAGAGACAACACAAAAGAGGAAAAAGGTAAATAAAAGAGAGCTTGGACATAAACAAAATAACCTTTAGTTTTGACAAATTAGTTTGATAACTTAATATAACTTAGTTTTGTCTAGGGCTATATTTGGGCAAAATCTCACCACAGGTTTGCCTGTGGCCTGGCAGGCCAGGCTAC